CAACTTAACAATGACGGAAGTTAATAGAAGAATTAAATTAGCATGGAGCAAATATTGGTCACTAAAACATATTTTCAAGGCAAAACTACCAATTAAATTAAAATAGAAAGCGATGGATACTACTGTACTCCCCACTTTATTATATGGATGTCAACACTGGGCTCTCAGAAGGAAAATAATATCTTAGCTACAAGTTTTCCAACGAGCAACGGAACGCAGCATGCTTAACGTTAAACTAAGACATCGAAAGAAAAAGAAACAGTAATATACGAAAAATAACAAATACATGACGAGAAATTAGTGAGGGACGTGGCAAGAGTCAGTGATGGGAGATGGACTGAACGGGTGCTTCATTGGTACCCGCGTGATGCGACGCGCACACGCGGCCGACCGCGGGCACGCTGGTGCGACAACATTGTAGAGGTGGCAGGAGCAACGTGGACGGGGCTAGCGGCAGACAAGAACCTTATGGAAAAGGATGGAGGAGGCCTTCATCCGGAAATGGGTATCCCATAATTAATCAAAATTAATATAATAAATAATGATACTATTTTATGTGTATAGCCAAATTCAGTAGAATATTATTAACTTCATTTTTTTATTTTTAACTATATATTTTATGACAAAAATCAAAATAAGTTGACAATTACTTAAAAATATTAATATAAATTGATTATTTACCCTAACATTATTTATAAATATTTAAAAATTAATTTTCTAAATTTAATTTAAACTTTTTATTTAAAATTGACACTGGTATTAACATGTCATTTAATTAAAAAAAATTGCATGACTCATAATAATATTGTAATTGGTTTTAACTAACATCGACTGCTGTATGAAAATTGGGAGTTAAATGGCTATTATTATTATTATTGTTTGGGGTATCTATATAGTTTTCTCATCTGGTTGGGTTATATAAATATATAATTATAAATTAAAATGAAACGATAAATATACATAAATATCAATAAAATAAAATAAATACAAAAATACATAAATAAATAAAAGCCCAACCAGTTGGAAGCCCTCGGCAGGGGAGATCAAACGGCCGAGGGTTAAGAGGAAAGGGAAAGAAACCGGCGGACGATGCGAGCGGTATCGGGGAGCACCGCCTTTTGCATTTGAGCCCGGAGCGGTCCGTCACGGAGTCCCAGTCGCCTCAGATGACCCGAGAGGCTGACTGGGATTAGCCCATTCGCAGAGACGACTACAGGAATAATTTCGGCCGGCAGACCACCCCACATATCGGTCACCTCGTGAGCCAGGTCCAGATATTTTGTTCGTTTATCTGTTTCGGCTTTCACGAGGTTCTCGTCATACGGAATGGTAATGTCGACCAAAAATATCCTTGACTGTGCCCGGTCCATCAGCACAATATCAGGCTTATTCGCAAGAATAGTCCTATCTGTGATGATGGCCCGGTCCCAGTAGAGCCTAGAGCGGTCATTTTCGAGCACGGCTACCGGTAACTACTTGTAATACGGCAATTTCCGATCCACGATACCGTATTTCAGAGCGAGCTCCTGGTGTAGAATTCTGGCTACTAGGTTGTGCCTGTGCAAGTACTCAGAGTTAGAAAGCACCGAACAACCGGAGATGACTTGCCTAAGTGACTCACCAGGATGGCAACAAGCTCGACAGACGTCGATGGTGCTATCCTTTAGGATGTATCTCCGATAGTTGTTGGTCTTAATAACCTGATCCTGTATTGCACAGACAAAACCCTCGGTTTCCCCAAAAAGGTCACCGAAACGTAGCCAGTTGAGGGAGGCGACTGTATCTACGAAGGGCTCATGTAGAACCCTGTAGTATCTCCCGTGGAGCTCCTTCTCCTTCCATACGGGCTCCCGGTCGGAAATGCTTTGTACTGCCGGGTCTTGCCATTGCTCGTTGGCTAAGGATAGAGGGGTAAGTCCTTTATCACTAAAAATGACGTCATTATAGAATGGATCATCCGATCTCGCCAGGAAGTAATTACGGAGGCTGCACACTTCGCGATTATGCATGGTGAGCGCGCTCAGGAAGCCACGCCCACCATGCTTTCGCGGCAAGTACAGCCTCATTACCGACGATCTCGGATGATGCATCCTATGGGACGTCATGGTAGTGCGGACGTTTCTATCCAGGGCGTTAAGTTCGGTCTGAGTCCACCTGAGTATGCCAAAGGTATACATGAAGACAGGCATGACACAACCGCTATATGCGTGTGTCTTATTCACACTGGTCAAAAGGCTGTTAAGCACTTTGGTCAAGCGTGCATAAAACGTGTCGCAAACTGACTGCTTATTATTATTGTTATTATTGACTTATTATTATTATTATATAGTATATTCTATACATCTATACATATACACTTAATGTGTCTGTATTATTGAAATAACTGTCTTCTATTAAGGTTATTTACATCCTATTAGGAAGACGTAAATTACATTATTTAAAATGTTTGTCTGTGTCCGGGTTAATCTTCGGAAAGACTGAACGAATTATGATGAAACTTTCGAAACAGAGAGAGCAATTCCATAAGGGAACTAGGCTATATTTTGGGGACATTTTTTTAACCAAGGAAAAATAATCATCTAAGTCCTATTTACATTTTCTTCCACTATTATGCTTTTTACATGCCCAATTAATTTATCCACAGCCTCCTGAAAATCAACGTGTACCATTTGCATCCGAAATTTCTCCTCTAGATCCCATCATAAATTCATCATTCATTAAATGTATAAATATTATGATAGTAATAACACACTCCGGCTTTGCCTTGGTGGGATCTATTAATGAGACAAATAATCATAAATGACCATTTTATGATCATTTTCGATTTCGCAAAAAAATATTTCTAATTTTTTTAGACAAAATATAGCCCAGATTACTCGTGGCATTGCTCTCTATCTGTTCAGCAATTCCGAAAACTAGCCTGGACAAACAGACAGAATTTCTTTAAAAAAATGTCTTCATATCTAAAAGACGATTCGATATTACAACAGACATCTAGTTTTTATATATATATATATATATATATATATATATATATATATATATATATATATATATATATATATATATATATATCACAACACGTATCATAATTAACGCACTTTGGGAAAGTAGTTTGTTCAGAATCGTTTACTGAATCGATTCCTATCATTTTTAATAGGGGTAATTTTTTATCCCAAAAATAATTAAAACTACGTAAATTACAGTTAACTTGACTGTCGGCATATCGAAGTGCTGAAGTGTTTGTACAGTAGGGCTACGATGGCTATCCGAGTACGGAACCAGAGCTCGAAACCTATCCAACTGCAGAGAGGTGTAAGACAGGGTGACATTTTATATCCAAAACTCTTCACCGCTGCGTTGGAAGACGTTTTCAAGCTACTGGACTGGAAAGGATACGGTATTGACATCAATGGCGAGTACATCACTCACCTTCGATATAGTCCTTATGGCAGAAACGCTGGAGGACCTTAGCACTATGGCTCAATGACCTCAATGGTGTCTCCCAACGGATAGGTATTAAGATGAACATGGACAAAACAAAGATCATGTTTAATGTCCATGTCACACCTATGCCGGTAGTTGTGGGAGCACTATGCTCGAAGTTGTTGACGAGTACGTTTACCTGGGGCAAATAGTCCGACTTGGTAAGTAAAATTTCGACCGAGAGGTCAATCGACGGATTCAACTCGGCTGGGCAGCGTTCGAGAAATTACGACACATCTTCTCGTCAGGTATACCTCAATCTTTGAAAACTAAAGTGTACAACCAGTGCGTGTTGACAGTGATGACTTACGGATCTGAGACGTGGTCCTTCACTGCCGGCCGTATGAGGATGCTCAAGGTCGCTCAGCGAGCTATGGAGAGGGCTATGCTCGGAGTTTCTATGCGTGATAGACTCAGAAGTGAGGATATCCGCAGTAAAACAGAGTGACCGACATGCCCAGGGTGCTGAAGTGGCAATGGGCCGGCCATATAGCTCGAAGAACCGATAACCGATGGGGAAAAAAGGTTCTCGAGTGGCAGCCTAGTACCGGTAGGCGTAGTGTAGGGCGACCCCCCCACTAGATGGAATGACGACCTGGTAAGACATGCAGGAAGTCGATGGATGCAGGTGGCTCAGGACCGTGCTTTGTGGCATTACTTGGGGGAGGCCTATGTTCAGCAGTGGACTTGTGAAGGGCTGTAATGATGAATGATGATGAAATTACAGTCACACTAAATCTGTAAAGTCAAAACAAACTGAAATGGACCATAACTTAAGCCAATAACTTTTAAGAGTGCAGCTTTATTTGTATTATTACTAATTCTGTCATTCAATAAAAATAAAGGCAAATGACCTTTATTTCTAGCACGTTAAAGTCTTTGCGTTCGTGGATTTGTACTGTGACCACAACATTCTTCCGGAATTAGTATAACTAATTTGATAAATAATCAGTGCATAAAAATTAAAATTCAGTATATGTATTATGATTATAACATAATATACTAATTGGGGTGTCTGAGGGTGTGCGTTAATTACGTTACATATTGTGTATATATATATATATATATATATATATATATATATATATATCACACGGGTGACTTCTGGATCTCGACAACAGAGCCACCTACCGGATTCAATTGTGAATCAAACTTATCGCACATAAAAAATTTCATCGATATCGGTCTAGGAGTTTAGGAGTAGTTCAGTCAATAGACATGGACAGAAAAATTATACTGGGTTATTTTTGTGCCGTCTGAAAACAAATAGGGTATAACATGTGAACCGTTTAGAAGCCTATGGCACTGATATTTTACATTAACATGTTATGAAATAGACCATGAATGTCATATATTAATTTAAAATTAAAAAAATTGTAAAATATCAGTGCCATAGGCTATCTATTCGGTTCACCTGTTACACCCTATTTTTTTCCAGACGGTAAAAAAGATCATCCAGTACATAATATGAAGGTTAGTCGTGTTGTAAACATTCCTTTTGTTTCTGTTTTCAGTGAAAGTTGTCCGCAACAAGCCGCTGTTCTTCGCAGAGCGCCTGCACAAGTCTATGAAGGGACTGGGAACCAACGATCGGCAACTAATACGTATCATGGTGACTCGCTGCGAAGTTGACCTCGGCGATATCTCTAACATGTTCCAGGCTAAATATGGCGAGACCCTGCAGAGCTGGATAGAGGTGAGATCTGACTGACTATTAGTACACTATTACTACATTATTATTAAACTAAAACTTCTTGCTTTACCCGAGTGTAATTACATTAGTGTATCGGAGTCCTTGGTTCGTTAACTTGTATCATGTCATACCTAAAGGCCCATCTTATAGTTTTATGGCAGAAAAATAATGACGTGTACATCGTAATCATCGTTCATTTAACCATGTATGTAAAAGTCCATAAAATGCGTAAAAAACCTTATAGCTCCAGAACTAACACGATGCTTAAATAGTTGTCTAGAACAAGGTACATTTCCCAGTAGTCTCAAAATCGCCAAAGTTACACCTATTCACAAATCTGGCAGCAAAACCGACCCCATCAACTACCGGCCTATATCGGTTCTTCCCGTTGTCTCTAAAATTTTCGAGAAAATTATTTATAACCGACTTAAGACTTATTTAAACTCTATAAATTTTCTTTATCACAAACAATATGGTTTCAGACCCAAATCTAGCACACTATCAGCGACTATAGACCTTGTTACCAAAATAAAAAACAATATAGATGAAAAAAAATTTTGTTCTTGGCATCTTCATTGATCTAAAAAAAGCGTTCGATACAGTCTCACATAAAAAAAACTTTTGGATAAGTTACACGATATAGGTATAACAGCAAAGCCTCTTGAACTTCTTAATTCATACCTCTCCGACCGTTATCAGATACTTAAACTTGCAGAACACAAAAGCAGCCTAAAACAAATAACGTACGGTGTCCCTTAAGGCTCCATTTTAGGACCATTGCTTTTCCTTATTTACATAAACGACTTAAGCACATTAGAACTAAAAGGAGACCTATCACTATATGCGGACGATACCAGCTTATTTTACTTCGGTAACAATATTGAATCAATTAATAAAGACGCGCAAAATGATCTAAACATACTAAATAAGTGGTTTTGCTCAAATCTACTTACAATAAACGTAGCCAAAACAAACTATATGATCTTTGCAGCAAAGAATAAAAAAAATACCCGATCTCACACCTCTAAAAATTAATGACATAGTAATCAACAAAGTAACAAGCGTATTTGGGCCTTACTTTAGATAACCAACTGACTTGGAAAGAACACTTGAAAAAAATAAAACAAAAACTGATATCCCTACCGGAGCACTACGCGGAATAGTTCGCTGCCTTCCACAAAAAGTCCGTTACACTATCTATAACTACCTAGCTAAACCACATATCGATTATCTGGTAGAAATCTGGGGATCAGCTGCCAAAACTAATCTCAATTCTGTTCAAATCGCGCCACACAAGTTGATCAAAATTCTTTTCTGTTATGATTTCCTGACATCTATAACCAAAATATACAAAGATACGAAAATACTTAATATAGAACAATCATACAAATACTTTTCCTGCGTACTAATACGAAAATTTTTAAATAAAAACATACATACTAACTTAACCTTTACAAAAAATAAAAATGTGCAAACTAAAATGTTAAGAAGTGCTAATAACTTAATTCTGCGACGGCCAAGAACCAACTACGGAAAAAAGAACATCACTTATGAAAGCGCACAACTATACAATAAATTGCCTGTCGATATCAAGGAAGCTAAAAGTATGCATAATTAATACAATATTACAATAATTCTCGTTATGATGGCTAGTCAATTCTCGCAAAGAATCTTTAAATCCACGTATTTTCGCTTTCACCGTTTGTTTTTGTTTACACGGGCGATCTTCAATCCTGTTATGATGGTGAAATTTCTACCCGCACTATTTATATAATTTTGTGACATAAAATATTTGTGTACTTTGCCTGGCACGCTCGGTGACCACTTACTACCTAACACTCATTATGTAGGATATGGGCGTGTGAACAAAAATTTTTCATCCATCATAGAGGTTAGAGAGAAGAAAAACGATCGCTACGTGCTAAAGTATAGCCCGCCTGTCCCTGAACTGCCGTCGGTAAGTAGTATCTGCGAAGTTAGCTGTTTATGAGTACAAGTAGATGAAGTTAGTTGAATAATGTACAAATTTTCTTCGCAGCATTGGTGAGAAAATAATCGTGCTCCGTAATTTTTTCATTTTTGACAAAAATAAACATTAAAAAAGGGTAAAATATTGTATTTTGCGTAGTGGTTTAGCATCTGATCGGAAAAATAGACTAAAAATGACCTTTATTGAGAAAACCAAGCGATCGCAGCGCTTCACTTATTTTGTCCATATTTCTGGGACACTATTTTCTACAGCGATCGTTCTCCTTCTCTTTAACCTCCATGGTAAAATAAATCAGCGCCATCTCTTAAATACTCATGAACTACCACGGAACCCGTGCTCCCACTTATGATTTTGGTTTTACCCCTGAACCTGTAGAAATACTCCTTAAATAATCGTAAAAAAAAATCAAAATATCCTTAGTTATTGCATCTGATTTTCAATATTTTAAAAAACAACGTTATTGCAACATTTGAATATCATTTCACGATTAAAGATCTTCAATTTTGTGATGAAGAAGACATTCTCATTTTCAAATTATAAGAACACTTAGTGTCATATGAATAACGAATATTTAACTAAGTAAAATAATACCATTATTCCGATATACAGAATGAAAAACTGTTTCATTCTACACTTAGCTCTTTTGACTCTATCCCCTTCTTACCTGAAGTTCGAATTTACCACAAACTATCCAAAACCCTGTCAACTTGAAGAAACGCCTAAAGCCCTACCTTTATTAGTAGATTTACCCAAAAATAGTGCAAAATATCTAAAAGTGGAAACACTGCACGGACGCACTCGCGTTGGTGCTCCGTAAATATTCTCGCACCAAGGAGTGTGGTACCATTTTGTTTGTTCAATGACCCGGTCCATATGCAGTAGTATAATAAGTCTATGTCACTAACGCATATCATCCCGTGGGCATCATGAGAGGCGAGAAAAGGAAACAAACCAGGAAATGGGCAGCAGCGTCTACCTAATAACAACTAGAAAATAAAAAACTTCGGTTGCCAACTAACTTGCCAAGCGTGGCAATATACCCCTTATTAGGTTATCTATGGGAAAACCTATATTCAGCAGTAGACTTAATTCGTGGAGTCTCAGTCGATCCATTCGGATTAGCACAAGCCACATTTGTAGACCCCTCAGAACAATTATTTTTGAATTGTTATTTATAAGTGTTATAAAACTAAAATTCCAAAAAAAAATTGGATTAGTCTCGTTACAAAATGACGAAAATTAAGATTTTACGAGAAATAAACTAAGATAATTTACTTTAAATTATGACCTTCCGCCATCATCCTACTTTACTATTAGAACTACGTCGGCTTGGCAGCTCTTAACACACCGTGTAGATGGCGCTGTTACAGTATTATTTCATTTCTGAGATTTGTTTTACCAGATTTCTTCCTTAAAGTTGCCAAGTTATTTGAAAACCTCTGGAAAACACACAAAAAACTGGAGTATTCACCCATTGATTTCGAATTTATCTATTGATATTAAAATATAATATTATGTTGTTTATTTACTAATGAAATTCTTCTGTAATAACACCATCTACACGGTGTGTCCATTACTAAATAGACCTACGAAGCCGACTTAGTTAATTCATGGCACTGTTATTAATGCCGCACAGGTTCCATACGTTAGTTGATAGAACCTGGTTTTGAGAAATAAAATAATATTGACCTTGGCATGACCATAGGTCTGACAGAGTTGGTCTGATACAATGTCGGGATCTGAGAGGTTAAACAGGCTGTAACGAATGAATGAATTATCATCATTACAAGCCATCGGAACTCGTGAACACAAGTCTCCATCACTAATTGTAATAAAATACGATTCTTAGCCACCGGTATCCTACGATTCTGCGTGCTTTATCTGTGCAGGTATACAGGCACTTACCGGTACAAGATCGCGTCACGTGATACTTTTTCTTTATAGGTTTTCGGTCCTGTGATCCTACCAATGACCAATTCAGCATACTGATCCGTTGGCTATGTCAGTTAGGTACTCGCTATTCTGTGGATTTCCTCGTTACGAATTTCATCGCTGAAGAAAACCTTTAGCAAAGCCTTCCCCTTCACTAGCTGAACGACTGAGCTTCCTTATAATATGGCCAGCATAGGTATTAAGGACCACATCTCGGTTTTTAAGGCATGCTGGACCTTAAATAGTCATCACTTATAAGTATACTGAAGATGAAGTGCATTGATAACGGTGTGGAACATCATTTATAGCGACATCTCGTCCCATAAGGGTATATCCAGGCTGCAGAAAATTTCAAGAATAGGATTTTTGCCATTATTGCCAGTCACTTGGGAGGTGGGTTGGCAACCGCAGGATTTTTATGATTTTGAGTTGTCACGTTTTCAGAAACACGCTGCTGCCAATTTCCAATTTTAGTTTCGCTCTGTCTCCTCTTACTTACCCACGGCATCGCACTGACTTTGTCTGTATGTAGATAATTGATGATCAATTTTATAGCACCTAAAGTTTTAAAAACCTTTCAGAAATGAGAGGAGGCCTGTGACCAGCAGTAGGATGTATATAGGCTGTAACTTATTTACTTAAAGTTTTTCTATTTATGGACATGACTTATGTTTTAATTGTATTTTTTTCCATAGGGCGACTGCTCCGGTCACTACAAGAAATGTTTGCTGGGACTGCTGGGGCTTTACTAATTCATAATTGTTCGTGAATTGAAATATTTTGTCTATATATCGTGTCTTTAATGTATTCAAATTTTTACATTTTCTCGAAATATTCCTCCTTCGATTTATTCCAGATTTGTTGTGAAGATAATAAATTATATATTTCAAATACTTTTGTAACCTATTTACTTATTAAAAAAAAACTAAATGTTAAATTCTATATTGTGCTTATAAATTGTTTACAGATTCCTTATTATTTTTTTTGTATGTAGTCCAATTCTAGTTTCGATATATACGCGCAATTTTCTTTATAATTTTAAACAGGAAACGTATATTTTAAAACTGCTCCTTCATAAGAGATTTACATACTTTTATACAATTTAATATTGAATTATTGCGATGACCGTCCGATTGATCTGATATATAATTTTGTACTTGTTGGTTGGAAACCATCATTATACAATATGTAACGTAATTAACGCACACGCTCAGACACCCCAATTAGTATATTATGTTATAATCATAATACATACACTGAATTTTTAGTTAAACATTTTTATGCACTGATTATTAATCAAATTAGTTATACTAATTCCGGAAGAATGTTGTGGTCACAGTACAAATCCACGAACGCAAAGACTTTAACGTGCTTGAAATAAAGTTAATTTTTCTTTATTTTTATTGAATGACAGAATTGGTAATAATACAAATAAAACTGCACTCTTAAAAGTATTATTGCCTTAAGTTATGGTCCATTTCAGTTTGTTTTGACTGTACAGATTTAGTGTGACTGTAATTTACGTATTTTTCATTATTTTTGGGATAAAAAATTACCTATATTAAAAATGATCGATTCAGTAAACGATTCTGAACAAACTACTTTCTCAAAGTGCATTAATTATGTTACGTGTTGTATATTTTATTTGTTTTATATTTCTTAATTTTTCATATTATATTAATGCCTTATTTGATTATTATTATTATAATTATTAAATTTAAGGTTCTAATTAAAAAAATCTTTTGGCTAGACAATATTAAATTTATATTTTTTTAAGAAAATTAATTTCATATTTACTGATCCATGTAAACTTTTTATGCATATTATGTACATTTCATGAGTACAAATTTATAAAACAGTTGACTAAAAAGTCATATTTCGGTTTCTAAATAGGTGCCTTTTATGCCTTTGCCTAGTTAAACCTTAAATAGTACATTAATATAAGCGACTTTAAAGATTTTCTGTAACACAGGTCATGTGTGCCATTATTACTTGTAATGCAAACTATATTGTAAAATTTGATACATAATGATTTTTCAGCTAATATAAATATACAAATACGTGTTAATTAGAAATTATATACGGCCCCAATTTTTTATATATCAGTACGATATACTATTTTCGTTGTATGATAAAAATATGATGGCGTGAAAGCATAGATATTTCCTATGAATAACCGCGAAACGTGCCAAATAGGAAGAAAGGAAAATGGTGGTCCTATACAAATTTTGATTGATATAATTTTTTGCGTCTGCAGGTAAATATACATAAAATTTTAATTTCAATTCCTAAACAACTTGATCTTAAGATTTATACTTTTAATGGAAGTCAGGAATTAAAGATATTTCGGTTTGTAGTTTTAAAGAGTTTTGCGTTTTAGAACAAAATAAACGACGTGACGGTGAAAGTTCTAAGGAATATAATTTTTATTATTTTCGTTTAATAAAATAATTATTGTCATTTTATTTTATGCAATTAATAATTACTCTTGCTGCAATTTTATACATAAATGTATTTCAGAAATGTCTACATATGCTAATTATTCAATTGTGTTTCAATAAAATTGGGTTTATTTCCAGGCTAAAACAGATCTTTAATACAACTAATTTTTAAAAAAATATGAAATTATTTTATCGCTTGTAGACGCTTAAAATTATAACAAAAATTATTTCGCCATTTTTCTTTCTGTTTTTTGTCTCATGGATTAAAGCGTTTTTTGTATTGTGTCATTTACTGAAAGGTAGATTGCTAAATTCTGGTTTGTTAAAATAAATTATACATAACGTGATACTTAAAACTTAAATTCTAAAATGTAGTTCACAACGGCTCTTGCTCTGAACGGATAAACTTTCCTTGATGGCGGATAAAATATACTTTCTTATTTTTACTATAATTCTTTTGTTTTTAAAATACCTTAATCAAGGCGTGCGAATTGAGAAGCTCAGTTCTCGAAAATAATTGGCATCTTATTCAATATAATATGTTTTATCATTATACGAGAAGAGAGAGGGAAGACACATATTGTCTACTTAGAATTACTTGTTTGGTACTACAGTTGGCGGAGAAAAATCATGATACATCTTATACGATATGTCCAATATGTATTTATAATTTTTGTCACAAAATTACAACACTGTATCATTTAAAAAAATTATTCTTTAAGTATTATATTTTCAAATATATCTTCAAACTTAAAGCAATTTATAAAATATAGTGCTTTAATATTGTTTGCTGAATAGCATCACATTTTTATTAAAACTAAAAAGCTGCTAAAATACTGAATCTCGCTCCCACCTTATAATGAAGATTACAAATGACAATTGCTATTTACATTGATTATACGCTAACTAGCATTAAGTAGAATAAGAATACTTACGTTAAGTTATACCGTAAAAGCTTTCGCCTGTGCTTTTATATTGAGCAAAGTTCTAAAATGTCGCCTGTTGTCAGCGAATATTACTGTTTTATAAAGATTATATAATTAATTATACATTGAAAGTGTTGTCACTTTAATAAACGTTCTTTTAAAATTGTGTCATTTTATTGTGTTTACCCCCAGTTATTATTTAATTCATCGAAACTTTCTTTTTAATCTGTATGTTACACGATTTCTTCTTCAATGAGGATACCATAACTATATACCGAACGAGGTGAAATATTTCACAAATTTCATGGCTAATCTTCCCTACATTGGCTATCTTTCCCCATTTTCAGAAAATGTTAAGGGTTAATGTTTCTTTCTAAAGTATTAGATTTGACATGTGTAGATCATAGATATTCCTGAAGTAGAAAAATTAAAAAGAGAGATAAAAATGTGTCTATTAAATGCAATTTCTCAATTATCTTTTATTATCACAATGTGTAAAGAATAAGTTAAAATTATTATTAGCCTTCATTATGAATTGATTGTCATGATTATTTTAAAATAAATAGGTATATTTCAGGGGTGTTCCCATATAAAAAAAGAATAAATTCGACACCTAAGACCAGTCAAATTCAATTTTACCAGTCTCGCACATACGCGCCAAGTTCTTCGGTGTTCTTAAGGATATATTTTGAAAAGCGTGCGCAAGAATTACATCACTTTATTTCTTTCCCGCTCTTATAACCCTATTATGTTGTTAACATACCTACCACGCATTCGAATCTCGAATTCCGTTCACAATCCGTATAGCAAAGGCGTGGAATAATTAGCCAGATACTGCCTTTCCATCCGGTTACAATGTGGGTGTCATAAAGGCAAGAGTTAATAGGCTTTAATCAAGCTAAGTTAGTGCGTTTTGTTATCTTCGGCTACATCATTTAACAAGTTCGATAGTTGGCATAAAATAGTTTAAAACATGTTGATTTTGGATTCTAATAGTGATGTTATTACCCCTGTATCAGTGAAAAGTCATAGCCTCATCAGAGTTATTTGACTTGGTAGCGAACATAGAATACTATATTATGACATTGTGCATATTCATCATTCTATTCTATAATTACATACATAATAGAACGGGGGAGTGGGCGGAGTCCGTGTAACCACTAAAATGTCACTAACACGTCAATTCACACGTATAAATGACAACACGAGATGTATTTTGACGTTATAATCGTTTCCAAATTTCGCATGCAAATTATTTAGAAAATGCCAAATTGCACGCTATTTACAAATAAATACGTATTAAAATCTGTCTGTAAACACAACGAATCGGGTTGGTCACTACCAACCCGATTTTTTAATTAATTAGTTAATGATAATACTACGTAATTGCTTGTATGTGTGCTCCCGGCGACGCCTATCGTCGTACAAAATAAGGTTGACAGCCATTCTATTGTGTATTATAGTATCCTATGACAGCGAACGAGCATGCAGCTCACTGAAGGCTAATAATCGTCCGCTAACCAGATGCTTTAGAATCTAAAGTAGAACACATTGAACAGTAAAATAGGTTATTGTATTCTAATAAATATCAATAGTATACGTTTTGCTATTAACAGTTTTGAATGAAACTATAGTTTTACGAATTTTATCACGTTAAGTCGAGCCGACCCTATCGGTCGGTCGGAATAGGTCAGCTCGACTTGGGAATGATCACTACTAGCGTATTATAGCAGCTTTTGTGTTTCGTTTGGTGAGGGTAGAAAAACGGAGACCTTTTTAACTTGAAACGATGCATTCCATCGTATTGTTTTTTTATAGAATAAGGATGACAAACGAGCACACAGTCCGCCTGATGGTGAGTGGATGCTGTGGCCCATAGACATCTACATGTATCCTCGATTAAGAATCTAAATGCAGGAGGTGCGTTGTCACCCCTGAGGGCTAAGACGGAATGCCTCGTAACCAGTAAAAAGGGTATCCGGATCTCTACATTCGGTCAAGCTGACCAATTCGGGCTACAACTATAATATAGCTGCAGCGTGGCTCTACCACGTACAATATATAATCCTCAGGAGTGACAACGCATCTGCATTTTTATCCTTAATCGAAGATATATATATATATATATATATATATATATATATATATATATATATATATATATATATATATATATATATATGATGTTTATGGGCTACATCAACTACTTACATTCAGGTGTACTGTGTGCTCGTTTGTCATCCCCATTGTGTAAAAAAGATACACTTCATTTTTATTTATCTATTGGTCGGAAGCATGACTGCTGATCATGTGATCCCATGTTCGAGCTGAAATTAGTCAGGTATTGGGTGGATTAGATAGTACTAGGAGCCCAGAGTCAGGAAG